ATAAGCGCAGTTTAGTGGCGCTTTAAATATTGTATTTCGTAACTTTCGCAATAAGTGCGAGTATTTTAAATTGAAAGCAAATAATCAATTTATTCTTTATTTATTGTTGTCTTAAGTTTTCTTTGAGGAAAGGCTTTTTTTCGACTCATACTGAACCAATTCACGCCAAAAACTGAAGCACATTAATTGTTCTTTTTTATCAAAACTTTTAATCGCGCAATTCGAAATAAAAGGCTAAGGCTAGTGGGCGTGTTTTTATATGCAAAAAGTAATTAAAATGCAAAAGTTTATTAAAATTTCTTATAAATAGTTTCTCTACACTTTTTATGCCTCTTGCCTAACCTGTTCTACGATGTAGAGCGGATGGTGGACTGCTTCAACTTCCGTTTAAAAAATCCAAAAATTTAATGAAGCGTTTCATTATAATTTTTAGGGCGATTTTCATTATTTCAGAAATTTGTATCGGTCGACAACGAATTTCTTTGCGTAAGTTTTTGCAGCTGTTTTGTGAGTTATAAGTATTTCATTTGTTTTTATTTAAGAATATACTAATTCGACAAGAAAGCTGTTGATTTTTTTCACAAATCTATCTTTACCGACTTGCATTTAGATTAAATGATTAATCTTAACTATCCTTTCAATAGTATGGACGCTATCGTCAGGAGATTCTCTAAAATACAAAATCAACTAAACTACTCGTGCAGTGACATTGTCAGGAAATGAGTCTAGGTACTCGAACAAAGAAATATTGTTTGGTTTATCCATAGTCTGAATTTGTCCCAATAGTCTAATCTAATATTGTCTGCCCATCTAATTTGTTCATGCTCTTGAAATACCCAGTACCTATATACGGTTTTCATTGAACCAAATAATATCTCGAACCGTTGATATATGTATTCTTATATTGTTACATATAACTTAATAATCACGTTTATATACATAATTATTATTGCGATGTTTTTATGTATTTGAAAGATTATTTTTAAACATGAGGAATAATGCTTTTGCATAAATCTCTGTGCTAGAATAAAAAATAATTCAACTAAATACCCTTCTTTTCAAATTATAATGGCATATGAACGCATTTGATTGAAAATGTACCAAATTTTCTTTTCTACAAATAAGGTGGAATAGTTTACACAAGGACAAATTGATCATTCTTAGATTTATGTGCTCGACTGCTACAGTACTGTATTGTATATAGACTAAAACATTTGCTCTTCTTAATGGGGACACTATTACAATCTAATGACCTTCGGTATTCCATCGGAGAGTTATAATATGTGGTTGGTTGATTTCTGTGGCAGGTCATTAGATAATTTCTATGAACCTCAATCGGCCATTTTTCGCCGTTTTGCTACCACACACCTCGTAAGAACCCCTAGTATAAAAAGGTAGAGATTAAATTCATCCAGTCGAATTTAGATAATTTAATAGGCCTTTCGTCTTCACCGATGAACAGTCTGATAAACTATCAAAGAAGTGTCTTCCTAAGAACCTATATTTTTTGGACGCCAAATTCGGGCATTCACAGAGAAAATGTATTATGGTTTCTTTCTCCTGTGGGTTTCCACAACTTCTTCAGTGTGGATTTGGGGTATATGCAGTTTCCAAATATACTGTTAAGTAGATACATTTTTGTAACGGAAAAATGAGTACTAAATTATCTGTGAAGTTTGAAATGAAGTTTCTATATATTGTAGCGCTCACTCAAATGACGCATATAAACAAAGTTAAGCTCATGTGTCAGTGTCAGTTTGAAAATGCGCGCACACGGCTATCAACTTTTGAATATTGATGAAAAATTGTTGTCAGAATTTTGTAGATACGACTATTAATGTGTTGTTGTATTCGTTTTTGTTGTGTTTCTTGCTATTATACAATATAAAGCTCCCATGCGATTATTTATGCATTTTTTATGCTGATGAGGTAAAGTTGTCTGCATTTCTTGGTAAACAAGACAAAAACAAAAACAAAAAAAAAGAAGGGAAAAAAGTTATAAAACTTAAAAATAAAGTAGAAAAACAAAGTTCAACTAAAGCCAAGCTAGAATTTTTAGTTTATAGTAGTAGTATAGTCAAAGAATTAAAGAAATATAAAAAATTGAAAAAATTGAAAAAATTGAAAAAATAAATAAATAAATAAGGAACGAAATTCAAAAGATACTCTCAAACCGTAGAGAAATCAAACTGATGTGTTACGCTGTAGCGTATCTAACTGACATGCAGAAATGAGAAATACAAATAAATGTATCTTATAACTAAACTGGGAGGCAGTTTGCATAACTACGACTTCTTTTTTGACATAAAAATGTTAAGACACTGCTGGCAACACTGGTTGGTTGTATTGGCAGCATCTGCTGCCTGCCTGCCTTTCCAAACGGTTTAAACCGCAATTTTTTTTTTATTGTGAGGTTTTCAATTCAAACGCTTTCTTCTCTTAGTTTTTTTCTATTTATTTTATTTTGATTTTTGCAATGGAACTACGCCTTTTTATTACAACAAAAACAAGTAACACATCAAATACAATAAATACAACAACACCAACAATAAGAATAACTTCAGCTTGCAGAAAATTATTTTGAACTGCAACTGACAGCCACATTTGTCAGTTACGGCTGACCACATTTTCTGTTGTTACCAATAATGGCAGTTACCGTAGTTGCTGCTGCCTGCCTGCATTGTTCTTGTCGTTCTTCTTCTTGTTGTTGTTCTTGTTGTTGTTGTTTGGTCATATTGGACTTTGTTGTATCATTAATGCTAACGTTCTCAAAGTTGTGTTCTTGTTTTTGCTTTTGTTTTTGTTACGTTAGTTGTTAATGAAACTCTGATTGCAAAAAAAAAATTGAAGAACGAAACGAAATAAAACGAAAAAACAAAAAAAATCACAAAAAAAAATGGTTGAAAATGGCAGCAAATGTAAAAAATCGTTTTGGTTAACCACAAAATGCCAAACCGCAACAGAAAAGCTGCAACAATGAATGAATTTTCTTTTTGTGCTGTTAAAAATGTTAAAAAATGTGCATAAAATAAACAAAAATTTGCGTTAAATTGGCAAAATATTATTAAAATGTTAAGAGTTAAGAGTTGTCTTGGGTAATATTTGAATATATTTAAAGGTGTACTCAACTCATGCCTTACCTATGCTTGACCTTATTAGGCAGAATGTTAAGTTTATTTACTTAAATATTGCATTTGAATTGCTTCTGTGGAACGAAAATGAGTGTTTGGTATTCGTTTGAATCATAAAAAAAATCAAATTTTAAATAATTTTTTGCTAACAGAAAGAACTGTTGTTCAGCATAGCTAAATAGAGCAAATCAATTTAACTTCTATTCGCAAAGTTCTGTTTCTAACACTATTTCTGGCTTCCTATATGAGTTGGTAACACTGACATATGCTGGTAAACGTTGCCATATGTTGGCATTCTTGCAAAGGTGCACTTCAAATTTATCATTAACAATACAGCAGAAATGCCTAATTAATTAAATTGGCATAAAATTACTTAATTAAAATTTTTCATTAAATGTTGTGTTCGAAAGTTAACGGTTTAAGAATGTCCGTTAAGATTCTTGCCATCTCAACGGCCGTAAGGCATCAGTCTTCTTCCACTGATTGTTTACAAGAAGATTTAATCAACAATGAAGTGTGTAGGATTAGAAAGTTCCTTTTTTATTATTGCCAATAGATAATTTAAACAGTGTACGAAAATAGTATTGTGAACATACATAAAATTAAATTACAATATCAGATTTCCGCTTCCTATAATAAAATGTTAAAGTATATCAGGAAATATTTACTTATTTACTTAACAATTGCAAATTTCAATTATATCTACTGTGCCAATTTTCATTTTAATCACAATCAATTTTTAATGCTGTATAAAGCACTTTTATATGCTTATCACAACTGTATGTTATTAATTTTTATTAGTTATAGAGGATTCGAAAGATACTTTCGAATTTATTAAGAGTTTCGTCTATCAACAATGATGTAAGCGTGGAGCTTAGACGAAACATCACCATTGCTAATTGGTGGTACTATGGGCTCAGTAGTCAAATGAGTTGTAGAGCTCTCTCTTGACAGACAAAACTTATGCTCTATAGGTTGCTCATCGTATCTGCGTTTCTGATAGCGCAGAAGCTCGAATGGCATAACCGAATGATAAAGTACCACTTGGAATTTTGGAAAAAAAGTCCTTTGTATGATTTTTGAACTTTTAAGAGTTGGCATCGACTACCGCATCCAAATGAACCATGAGCAGTAAAAACTTTACAATAACATTGATATAGTTCAACGAATTAACGACTTCGCTGGCTTGGTTTTGAGAAGGGATGAGGATGCTTTAGCGAAAAAGGTATTTCAAGTAGTAGTTGGAGAAAGAAACATGCCAGAAAAAATTCACATTATCACTAAATAAATTATTTACTTCAGACATTCGAAATGACTTATTAACAAAAAAGGTTGACACTTTTATTACTTAAGGAAATAAAATTGATTTAAAATTATGAAAGATAAGTTTATAATCGAGCATACCATAAAAGTTAAGTATAGAAATCAAACGGTGGCAATAGGCAAAGGACTAAGCATTGCGTTCAAAACGATGAAGACCGAATACATTTCAAACTTTTATGAAGTAATTTTAATATAAAAATCTCAATATAAAAATCAAGGGATTTACTTAGCCTAATAAGAGAAAGTAGTTATAAAATTAACATAATTTACTAACAGTTAGTACTGACAGCCAGGCTGCTCTTAAAGCTCTTTCTTCTTGGACTTTCAAATCAAAACAGGTCCTTGAGTGTTACGATCTTCTGCAATCACTTGCAGCTCGGAATAAGGTAAACCTTTACTGGGTTCCGGGCCACAGAGGAGTTTTGGGAAATGAAAAAGCTGATGAGCTTGCCAGAACTGCATCAGAAACTGCTTTTATAGGCCCTCAACCCTTTTGTGGAATAAACTGGGCTAGTACAAAACAGATTATCAAGGAAATGGAAAATCATATGCGGCTAGAGTACTGGGTAAACTTTCCAGGACTCAGACAAAGCAAAGCACTGATAACACCTTACTCCTACAAAAACATTCTTAAATTCTCAAAATGTAATTTAAGGATGATAACGGGTTTCATTACAGGTCATTATGGTCTGAAATATCACCTTCATAAACTACAATTATCTGCTAACTCGGAATGCAGATTATGCCTCGAAGATGAGGAAACAACCATGCACATTCTGTGTGACTGTCCAGCTTTAATAACGCACAGAAGAAACCTGTTTCATAAGGAATTTCTGTCACCAGAACAGATTAAGAACTCTTCTCTAGATTTAGTTCTAGACTTTATTCACAAAGCTTTAA